TCATCCTGGAGATAGACCACGGGACTATTTTGGAACCCCGCCCCCGCGACCCATGTCTACTACAAAAAACCACCTTTATATATACATAAAGAAAAAAAAACAAGCCCGCCAGCCTAACCTGAAGTACCCCCTCTACCTGCGCGCGGTCAAATCTCAAACCCCTCACGGGGTAGTATATGTGGATGAAGGTAGATGAGTTAAAGGATCGTTACTATATACTCTATTATGTTGGGGCTTAGTTATTTCCTACACCCCACCTTCCATTACCCTACTTTTACACCCTCTCAAGTTTCTGTGCTATCTATCCCGCCCATCACATCCAGTAAGCAGAAGAACCTTACCTCTAAGCCCCAAACCCTCAGCCCGGAAGTCGTAAACTGTAGACCCTAAGCTCCAAAGCTCTAATCCACAAACCCTACGGCCCTGAACCCTCTAATCCCCATACCCTAATGCACCAAACCCTATAATCCCTAAAACCAAGTCCTGAAACTCTTCATCCGTCAGCAAGGCTTTCTCCAAATTCTCCCGGAGGGCGGTCCGGTCGAAATTCCTTCCAATAAAGACCAGCTCCTGTACAAGCACAGATTTTGACCAGCTCCTGTACAGTTACAGGTGTTGGGGCTCAGAGTATATAAGGTTTTGAAAGGATTTAGGGTTTAGAAAGATTTGGGGTTTTCAAATGGTTCAGGGTTTCCCCCTTTAAGGTGTAGGATTTGTATAATTGACGTTCAGGATTTGGGAGTTAGGGCTCGGGGCTCTGAGTTTAGAATCGCTTCAAGGCGTAGGATTTAGGGATTTCCCTAAACCCTAAAAACATTAAACCCTCGACCCTAAAAATCCTAAAGCCCTAAACCAAAAACCTTACAAAACCCTAAACCCTAGACAGATGGAGGCCCCAACCTGGCGCATGTCCCCAAAGGGTGCAGATCTGTACTCTGCGGGGGTGTCCGCGGGCCATTCAGAGGGATCAACGCTACCATGAAGCCAAGCTGGACCGGGCTGCATGCCCATCGTAGTACCTGGACACACTCAAGGGCAGGTAGCTATCCTCCTCCAGTGTATACAATGTGCACA